ATAATTAACTTTTTTTTTTTTTTTTTTGGTTTTTTTCCACATGTACAATTTTAAATAATTTTAAATGATAGACAACTTAAGTAACATTTACATTAAGAAAAATAATTAACTTTTTTTTTTTTTTGATTTTTGATCTTAGGTTGCACAATAGGAGGCAACCCTCTCTTATCCCTTAACCTCACCCAACTTACATGCTATGCAAATCAAATTTAAGATCTCATAGCTCCACAAGAGGAATATTACTATTGAGTTACTTAGGTTATTGACAAAAAATAATTAACTTAACATTAATAAATTAAAGGGAAAATTATAATTTAGCTACTTATGGTTTAGGGTCAGTACATAGAAAAACTCGAGATTTTAAAATGTATATATAACATACTTATAGTTTAAGATGGGTGTACATAAAGACCTAAGATTTCAAGATGAGCAAATAAAGACTTAAGGTTTCTATTAAGTGTATAGAATCACTTGAAGTTATATGAAATTGTCTTAAATACCCTTATTTTTCTTTTATTTTCTTTTCATTCTTTTTAAGTTAAGGGTTTTTAAGAAATTTCAAGTGATTATATGTACCAAATACAAAATTCAAGTGTTTATATGCATATTTTGATATCTTGGGTCTTTATTTGCACATACTCAAAATCACAAATATGTTATATGCTCATTTTAAAACCCCAATTTTTTATGTACACTTATCTCAAACTACAAGTAGTTAAATTATAATTTTTCCTAAATTAAATATAATCCTTAATTAACATATTAATGTAAAAATTAAAATTAAAAAAAAAAAAAAAACACCAAACAGGAATCAAATGCCTTCATCTTCAATTTTTCTCTACAAACCCTTATCATCACCAAATCATTTCCCTAATTTCAACAGAACCTTATCACCATCACCATTGATTTACTAGAACCTCACTTTTAAACTCTGTCATGATAGAGATATTATAAGATATGATTCATATAATTATGAGAGTAAATCTTAGATTTAATATTATTGTTATTATGATAGATTTAGGGTTTCTTGGGTAGTGTGTTATCTAAGCATCCATACAAAGGCTCCAATGTAACAATTTCATTTTATTCAATAATATTTTAATATGCCTTTCTCTCTGTTTTCCCTTCTCTCTTTTCCATGGTTTAATTTTCATCTTCAATTCTTCTCTACAAACACTCACCATCACCAAATCATTTCCTAATTTCAACAGAAACTTATCACCATGATCACTATCACCGCCACCCTCAACTACTACAACCTCAGTTTCAAACTCTCTCAATCTTCAAATCTTGGTTC